CTCTCGCTGGTCCCTCTCGCTCTCGCTCTCGCTGGTCCCTCTCGCTCTCGCTCTCGCTGGTCCCTCTCGCTCTCGCTGGCCCCTCTCGCTCTCGCTGGTCCCTCTCGCTGGTCGATGACCTTTGTAGTACATTTGGGCAGCCCCATGTGGAAGCGAACTCCCATAAGCAGTGTCAGCCCACTGTGCTTCCTGTGAACTGACCAGCTTGCAGGAATCTCAGGAATCTGTCTGTGTTCCTTCAGTGCTGCCCTGCCCCCGGTGTGCCGGTGCCTGTTCTGTCCCCCGGCTCAGGATAGGATAAAGGATTTTGAAGGGTATCGGGATTCAGCTGACCTGGATCAGTAACATGTCAGCATTCCAATTTTCCCTGAACTCAAACCCCCCCCCCCTCCACACCTCCACTGTATGATTAATATTTCAGCCTCTCTGGCTCACATGGAGAGGAGAGGAGTGGAACAGTAGCTGGGGCAGCAGGGCGGAGGTGGAGCCTGGTGTGGGCACAGCTCGTTAGCATGTTGGTGAAGTGGCATTCCCTTGGCCTGCTGCTGGCTTAGCCTCGCACGTGATGCCCCTGACAGATACACAGATACAGTATTAACCCTGTAAAAGCAGTCGGAGCTGAGTCAGAATGCACGCTTCCGAGTCCATCTTCCATGTTGATGTCTGCCATTAGTGATTAGCTGATTTGAGCTCAATGATAGTTACCATATTTCTCTTTTTCCCCAGTAACTGTTAAAATTAGAACAGAATGGAATGGAACAGAATAGAGCAGAACAGAACAGTGATGCTTTATGGATCCCCGTGGGGATAGTATCTTCTCGCCTCTGTACTTTATAATATGTTCCCTATGACACTGCTCATGTTAAAGTGTTTAATCCATCTCCATCCATTTGAAGGGGACGGTTGGTCTCGGTGTCTGTTTATTTTTCCCTCCTTTCTGCAGTTTCACCAGTCTTTTGACCTCCCTTTTCGCCTTTTTTTCCAGCCCTGATAACATCGGCACCTGCTGGTATATCCTCCTGTCCGGCTCTGTGTTCATCAAAGAATCCATGTTCTTACCGAGGAGCAGGTAGGTAATCGGCCTCTGGATCCTCATTATAGTGTCCTTGAGAACACTTGTGCTGAAAGCTGCATGTAAGTTATTGCATGTTAATCAGCTGCAGAGCCCAATAATCCAGCGCTAAGTACTGAAATGTAATTCGCTCAGTAGCCGGCATCGATTTCTTTGGTTTTTGTGGTCTGGAAGCAGAAATAGGCAAAGCAGCTACCAGACCTGAGCGTAGCAGCTTCTGGGAATGAGGTGGTGTTGGGTTGGCCTCCAGGCTTTCGTGCAGATCAGCGGACGCCCTGGGCGTGTCCTGTCCCGAGGGCGTGTCCTGTCCCGAGGGTGGCGCACGCACGTGCGTTTCGTTTGTGGCGTTTCCCGAAACCCCCGTGGGAGCTCAGGCGGGTGAGGAGATGCTATCCCAGGCAGACGCTGCTCTTCCAAAGGGCAGGCCTCTCTCTGCGCTCCTCCACCTATCCAACGCTCTGTCCTTCAGCGTCAAGGCGACACGTAGGAGCCGATTGGCCAGTTGCCAAGCCACTGCGCTGTCAGCCGCGTCTAACCTGTACTGTTAAAGATGCATTTCGGTGGATTCATGATTTTTAAGTCGAGTGCTGCATCCAGTCATTCTCCTAGCAATTTATTGGAGATGAAATTCATAATGTTGAGATGTCAGTAAAGATCAAGCCAGACAGTTTAAGCCAGACAGTTTAACCCACTCGTGCCACGGGCACAGTAAACACAGAAGGTGAACCAGCAGCAGCTGTGCATATATTAATGGTAGTGGACGGAAAACAGGAAACCGTCTTTATTTTGTCCTGATGACTTTCCGTACTTAAAGCTCTTGTTCCGCCCTTATGGTGTTTCCTGAAAATGGCTTCACTGACGAGGAGGGTTTGTGCAGCACGGTGGGCCGAGGGGGGCGACCCTGCGTGACCCCAGCCGGGCCGCTTCCGAGTATTGACCAGGGTCGGGCGCGATCGCGGCGGCGGCGGCGGGAAAAACACAGGGGAGGATGCGGACCGGACGTTGCCGACTTGGCGCGGCAGCAAGGGGAAGACCCAGTGCGGGCACCATTGTTATAAGCATCCTCACCATTCTTACTCGGGGGCGGGTTCGAGTCCAATGACATTCGCCCTCTGTGGTCTGGAGGCAGCCCAAGCCGATTTGCCACCTGCCCTAGCGTCACGGGTTAAAAATTAGCAGTGACAGTCGGGGGGGGGGGGGGGGTTGTTAAGAGGCCACAATAGGATTAACTGGAGTGTGCAGATATGGGAGGGTTGGGTTTCAAAGTGGAGCTGGCGTGTTCGCGGCGGATGGGGAGACCACCTCCGATACCGCGCCCCACCCCCCCCCCAATAAATCAGCTGCATATTAGATTCAGGAAGGATAATGCAGCTGGTAATTGAATGAAGAATAGGGGAGAGCTTGGTGCTATTTACAAAGGCAGCCGTGTAATTGGAGGCGGGCGGACAGTCGTCTGTAAAAATAGCAGGGTGATTGAGTGGGGAAATGCAAACGCTTGCTGTCGTAAAAGCCATGTGGACGGCCGAGGAAAGCTGCCACCTGATCGCTTTTTGTCTGATCGGGTTGTTCCGGTGTAAACCAAAACCCTACTGGTGCTGGTGACCTAGTGATCAGCTCAGAGCTGGGGACTAATGCCGATTCGCACTATGCCGGGTCCTGGGTTCGCCATGGGTCCGCTCGGCTGTGATTGCCTCTCTGCAAAATGATGCGCCAGAACAATGCGCTTGATTGGCTGGGCTTCAAGCCCACAGCCACGTGGACAAGCCTCTCGCCGCAGATCCCTTTGACACGTGTTTTCTCGCTGACTTAACGTGTCCTGGTTGCTCTGGTGCACCGAGCACGTTCCTGGTGAGTTCATGGATGCTCTGTATCCCTCTGAATTTTGTCGACTCTCTCTCCTGAAATGCTGCTTATGCTTTTGGAGATTTCCTGAGAGCGGGGATTAGGTCATGTCCACAGCGACCCCCCCCCAACATGTTTACGCCGCCCTTCCAGGTCAGCTACCCTTTGTAAGAGAGACCAGCGAGCTCTTGCACGTGTACTTGTACGCCTAAACGGCATGTAGGACGTAAGCGGCTCTCGGTGGTTGTGCTTCTTGGGCCGTGGCCTCGCCGGTCAGCCTCTGGAATGCAGGGGCAGCGTGGGGAGGGGGAAGCGGGGGGCGGGTCACTGCATGCATCAGGAAGTGGGCCGTTCGCGGGAATGCTGCCTGCATTCCTCCTTGGGCAGAGAGACAGAGCGCAGCGCGAGGATCCAGGCACGGGAGGGCTGAACACAGCCACGCGGATCGCCGGTACGGACAGCCCCCCCCCGGCACACCGGGGACACTTAGGTGAGCATGCAGCTGTGTGCTGTCCGGACACTCGTGGTGCGCTGCCCCGGATTCTGATCAGCATCGCCCGGGATTGGCCATGCTAGTGCTGAATGACCCGCTTGCTTAGGATAGTTAAGGAGCGTTTTTCTACCGGTAACACATGGAAAGTGGTGGGGGGAGGGGGCTCTGCGCCACCTGTCCGTGCTCCCATCCCCCCTCTGCTGCTGGGGGTGGTGACACTGGCGGGGAGCGATCCCTGGGCCCTCCGTGGGGGACGACGGGTCCTGGGCAGGGATCTGCTCCCAGCTCCTCTCACCTGGTCCTTTTTGTACCGTATACTACAATTCCTCCCACCCGGGCTGGGGGCCGTCATGGATGTCCTCTCTGGTGTCCATCTGAATCCTGTTCCTCCTCCGCTTTGTCCTTCCTGGGCTGGGGGCCGTCACTCATCCCCAGCCTCACCGCAGCACCCATGTCCACGTGGAAAGGCAGACGGTGAGCGTGGCGGTAATGCGTCCAGCAAGCCGCCTAGGGATTACAGGTCCCCTCATGCTCTGGTTTTTATTACTTCTAAACGCTGTAAATGTTTCGGTGTGGAATATAAATTAATGGGCTGATCATTTAACTGCCCCTCAGGGAGATATTTTGATCAGCTACTGTTTAGTCTAACTGCACACGCAGTATTCCCAGTGTTTGTACGCTGGGCGTATGGATTGGGTACGCATAAAGGCACTCCTTAGGGTTAGGCTCTGCGCAGGTTTGATGCCCCCCCCCACGGCAAACACGAATGAAGAGTGATAATGAAGAACCACAGTGGGGGGGTGGGGGATGGCATGTTAATCAGCAGCAGCCTGTCCTACTTTAGCGCTGTAATTACAGCAACAGAAAGTTCCCCATGGAGCGCCTAACTCGATCGGAGCGCCTAACTCGGTCTCGCGTGGGGCGGGCCGGAGGCAGGGGGCCGCAGACGCTTCCGAGCCGCCGCTCCGCTCTGCCCGGGTGTGGCGATTCCTCGCCATGCTATTTCGGCGCGTATGCGTGCTTTAATCACAGCCCGGGCCTTGATGTCACTCTGCGCTGGGTATTTTTACCCCGAAGGTCAGTCGCAGCTCGTCTGGGGGGTGTTACTGTCAGCACCTCCTCACTGGCCGCGCCTCCTCCGTCTGACTCCCCGCTTTCCTCTCCCTTCTCTCCCCAGCTTCGGAAAGCGCTCCGCAGGCAGCCTCAGGCGTGGGTGTGAGTGCATCGTCCTGGAGCCTTCCGAGATGATCGTGGTGAGTCCCTCTGCCCCGCCCCACCCTGCCCCCGGTGCTCTCAGCAGGCCTTGGGGGGGCATTGGGGGGGGTTGTTAAAGTCCGTGCTCTCATCTGCTCACTGTTTGGAGCCTCAGGTGACTGGTATATGCCCTGAACATACCGCCGGCGTGTACGTTTTGAGCCTCTGTCTCTGTCCTGTCCTTGTGACCGACGGAAAGATGGCTCCGGTGAATAGGCATGTTCTGCCTGCTAGATGCTGATCACACCACAGACTATTTCGGGATCTCCGGCAGTTGCCATAGCAGCAGAGGGTTCAGGGGAGGGATGCTGTGGTGCGAGGGGAGTGTAAAGGGGAGGCTGAGAGCTCGGGTTTGTCCCTGGACAGGCCTGCTGTAACAGGGTCCCCCAGCGTTCTGGGGGGCAGGCCGTCTGAGCGACCCCGTGATTGGTCTCAGCAGTGTGCTCTTTGTTTACATCTCATTGTGAAACCCGCCCTCTCACTCACCTCTCTGCCCCATTTAGATTGACTACATGGATGAAAATGAAGAGTACTTCCAGCGGCAAGCATCCTACCGACAGTCTCGCAGAAGATTCCGGAAGATTAACCAGAAAGGAGAGCGGCAGACGATCACGGACACGGTGGAGCCGTATCCCATGGGGAAGGCCCAGCCCGCAGGGAAGCCCCCTCTGCCTCGCGGATATCACACGGTGAGAGGCCGCCCTCTGCCTCGTGGGTATCGCATGGTGAGTGGCTGCCTTCTACCTCACGCATACCGTACTGTGAGAGGCCGCCCTCTGCCTCGCGGATACCGTACGGTGAGAGGCCGCCCTCTGCCTCGCGGATACCGTACGGTGAGAGGCCGCCCTCTGCCTCGCGGATACCGTACGGTGAGAGGCTGCCCTCTGCCGGGGAAAGGCCTGCTTTTCTCTACCTCACCTCTCTGTTGTTCTGAGCGCATGAGGCCGTAATTAGGGAGAATCCTCGGGGTTAATTGGTAAATGTGTCCAGTCCAGTCGAGTCTGGTCTCCAGGAGGGGAAACTGACTGACTGCTGGTTCCAAGCGTGTCTACACGCTCAGGCATCTCCGGGTGTGTCTGAATCCCCCTCCAGTTAATAACGGCCAGCCTGTGCACGTCTCAATTGGAGGTGATCCCCCGGGCCCCCCCTCGCTGGCGTCTGACAGCCCTGCAGTCGCTGCCCCACATTCATCCCTTTACGCATCCAAGCAGAGGCTCCATTTGACACGGAAAATCCGTGGAATTATGTGGAATTTCTCTGGAGCGGAAAATGCCAGACTTTCTCATGCTCCATAGCAGCTGATCCTAAACACATGCGCGGGTGCACATTGCCGCCTGCTCCAGGCACATGCCTAGCTGAGCACAGGCGAGCCCGGCTAGCGCTTCCGGTATATTTACGGCCGACCGCTGTGTAAGGGTGGGTCCGTCCCTCCGCAGTCAGTGACTCGTCGAAGCCATGGAGGTGTGGGACAGTTAATCCCTTCTGTGATATCCTGGGTCTTTTCCTTATTTCATTTAGTCACATTCAAAGGATTTTTCTCCAAATCTGCCCCAGCCAGATGCATTAAAAGATGCTTTTTCTTTTTTTACTGCATGATAATTGCGATAAAAATTCAGGTGTTTCTTCAGCTTGAGTGACTCGCTTCACACAGATTCTCTTGTCAGTTTAGTTATTAGAATCGTGTGATGTCCGTCCTCTGTGCGCCGTTCGTCCACTCTGTCCTGACCCTCTACGAAACTCTGTTTGTCAAAACTCTGTTTGTCTCTCTCCCTCTGTTACTCTGCCTCTCACTCTTACTCGTTGTTTGTCTCTCTCTCTCTCTGTTACTCTGTATGTTTGTCTGTCTCTCTCTCTTACTCTCTCTCTCTGTTTCGCTGTGTGTTTGTCTCTCTCTTTCTCTCTCTCTCGCTCTCTCACTCTCTCTGTTTCTCTGTGTGTTTGTCTCTCTCTCTGTCTCTTTCTCTCGCTCTCTTTCTCTGTGTGTTTGTGGCTCTCTCCACATTTCCATCTATTTCTCTGTGTGTCTGTATCTCTCATTCCTTGTCTGTGTCCTCCTCCTGTGTTTATCACATCAGTAAAGACAGTGGTTATTAACTTGCTTTGTCATACACTTTAAGCAATATGAGTCATGGATATTTCCCATAGCAATAAAACGACAAATCTTCTACAGGATAAACAGTGAACCCTATGGTGTCATTAATAATAATTAAAGCACTTGCTGTAATCATGACCTTGTTTCATGGTGTATTGAAGATCCGTGTAATCGCAGGGATCTTACTCATAACTGGATGTTTACAGGGCTTGTTACCCCCGATTTAAGACCCCATCATTAAGTCTCCATTTAATTCTGAGGAGTGTCAGCCTGTGGGAATGAGTGAATCGCCTGTGCCCCCCCCCCGCACAGGGTTCGGTGTGGGCTGTACTGTAACGTGATAGTTTTGAGGTGCACTGCACCTGTTCCACAGAAGCCGGAATGAAGCACCGCGCAGCTTCCTAAGCGTATCGATGGGGTCTGCAGGCACTGCCCGCGAGCCCCTTCGGCCTGCTGCCGGGCCTGTTCTGTCCTGCCTGCTTTCGCCTGCTGGTGGAGTTCCGGCTCCGTGCTCAATGTCCGCCGTCTCTCGGGAATCCTCCAACCCAGCTATTGGTTTTATTTAAGTTTTCTGAACTGCAGCACTGGCGTTTGGACACTGTACACTCATGTGGGTCTCGTCCCAGCCCCGCCCCCTTGCCTCATCTCACGGCCCCTCCCCTTTTGGCTCTTCTCGCAGCCCCACCCCCGCACCTCTTTGTTATAGCCCCGCCTCCTGACCCTCAGCACGGCCCCACCCCTGCTTCTTTTTGAATAGCCCTGCCCCTTCGAGCAGCTTTGTTTTGCTTTTCTCCTCATTTCCTTCCCCATCTTCCCCGTCTGTTTCTGAGCCGAGCTGCCAGCCCCCAGAGCACATGAGGAAGTCCCCTTTCCCGTCAGCCAGCTTGGGTGGGAGGCTCACCAGCCCCTCAGGTTCCCTCCTGGACTTCCGTGATTAGCGTGGGAAAGCAGGACGAAGGCGGGATAACTGGGCAAACAGGAGTTTGGCTGTTATTGATGTGGGATTCCTGACCTCATTGGGATGCACAGAGCAGCTGAGGGCACAGTTACTGTATGGGGGGGGGGGCATCAGTGACTGTCCGCTTAATGAATGAGGCTTCGCAGTGCTTGGTGTCATGGGCAGCTTGGCAGGTCATTGAGGGTGATCATCTTGTGGAGGGTGACATGCAAGCCACATGTCTTTTAACCGCAACAAATAAAAACACTGTTATGCATAAATGGCTTTTGCATGGCAGACAGAGCCTGGATGTGCTTAGTTTGTCACTGGTAGGAAACAGCGGCCCTCATCGCGAGCTTGAGCAAATGGTGACAGTTGACCTCGAAGCAGCAGCCTGTATGAAATAATGAGAGCTTGGGGTCAAAGGGCAAGCTCAGTCAGCACCCAGTTCCTCGGAGCTACTGGGGGCAAGGGTTTCACTCAAGGGCGTGGATGTGGGATTCAAACCCACGACCTACTGGACACAAGATGAGAGCTGTAACCCAGTGAGCTGAGCACTGCACCCTTAACCGTCCTCGTCACGCTCATTGTCCATCTGAAGGGCCCAATCAGCAGTGACTTGTGTTCACGCAGCCTGTCAGATTGGCTGTTTGTCAGCATGACATAGTACTTTGCTTTGCTAACTTAATTTAGTGGCTGCTGTCCCCAGTTCGAGCAGCGCCGCCCGGCTTTCCGCATGCTCTCTGGGACATGCTGGCATGCTCAGGGGCATCCCCGTGCTGGCTCTCCTCCTTCCTCTTGGCCCCCCCCTCAGCCCGCTCCCTGGCCTCCACCCCCGCTGCCCGGCCTGGATGCTTGACCGCGCCGCGGTTAGTGGTGGGTTAAAAGGCCAAGAGATTCGCTCAATGAAGCCATCGCACTACAGCGGCCGCCCGTGATTGATGGGGGGGGGTGCCGGGGGCTGTGGGCAGAGCGCAGGCACATTGCAGGTGGTGGCTGTAACTTAAGGCACCCCCGCGCCCCCATGACATCAGCGAGCATAGAGCTGCATCCTGTCAGTCCGGACAAGGCACAACTCCTCCTCCAGGAGGCCCGCCTTGGGGTGACACTCCTGCCCCCCCCCCCCCCCCGAAATGGCAGGCGGTGGGGCACTATAATGCCAGAAAGAGCCTATCCTCCCTGGTTGCTATGCCAACTGCCTGCAGCCTTCGTCCCCCTGAACACCAGGCGTGTTAACGGGAGGGTTTGGGGCGGAGGATTATTCCCGCTCCCCCACATCCCCCGCTGGCGGCCTGGGTAGCCTACAATCTCCCAAAGTGCGGTGACAGGATGGTAGGCTTTATCTGACTGCTCCCTGCTATCATCAGCTGGGGGGGGCGTCCCTATTCACACCCCTCCCCCTCCCCTCACTGGCCAATGGATGGGCACCATTTACAGTGCGGAGGGGACAACTGGGGGGGGGGACTGCACTCAGTACTGGGCTGAATGGGGGGTGACCACAAAGCACTGAGCCCAGGTTAGATTTGGGGGGGGAGCGCAGGAGAGAGAGAACAAGGGAGAGAGAGCGCATGAGAGAAACAGAGAGAGACAGAAGGAGGGAACACGAGAGAGAGAGAGAGAGAGAGAGAGAGAGGGGCAGAAGGAGGGAACACGAGAGAGAGAGAGAAAGAGAGAGACAGAAGGAGACAGCGCATGAGAGAGAGAGAGAGAGAGGGGAGAAAACACGAGAGAGGCAGAAGGAGGGAACACGAGAGAGAAAGACAGAAGGAGACAGCGCTTGAGAGAAAGGAGAGAACACAGAGAGAGATTCAGAAGGAGGGAGCGCATAAGAGAAAGAGAGACAGCCATTTTGCTCTTTTTTTTTTTTTTTTTTTTAAAAAAAAAAAAAGAAAATCTCAGCAATAGTTTTATCTGCCCGATTGGCCAGAGTGCTTCCATTACGGAGCATGTGGGGATGCAGCGCGGCGTGAACGTGACACACTGCGTCTGCGCAGACCCTGGGGGCAGGACCAGGCTGACGCTCGCCACGGCCGCCATCACTGGCTCCCCACAGCTGCGGGACCCCTCCCTCCCTGCTGGAGGTGCTGAGCGCAGCCAGACAGCTGCGAGGAGGACGGGGAGAGAGGGAGAGCAAGCGAGAGGGAGAGAGAGACGAAGCAGGATGTTAGAATTGTGCGCACCATACACTGGTTCATTATGAAACCATTAGCTGACACTGCCAGCCATGGAGTCCTGGGCCAGCAGAACAGGAATCCTGTAAGTACGGGGACCCCCCCAGTGATTCACGGGCAGACGGGGGCGTAGATCTCGGCGTGTTGCTGGCAAATCGATCCTTCTGGCCCGCCGCCGCACGGGTGAGTGAGCGACGGCGATCCGCTGGGGCTGGGCGGCGCGGTCGGCGGTTCGGAGCCTCGGCGTGGAGCGGTTTTCCTGCGTGTGTGATGCGCGGCCCGCGAACGCTCTTGGGAAATGTCTGCTGACAGATGATGCCTCCTGAGCGAGGGGGCTGCGCGCTGGCGGCGCTGAGGGTGCCTACAGTGGCTCTGCGTTTAAAAAACAGGGACGATGTTAATGGATGCTCTCGGTCTGTCTCGTCCCTGAGCGGAGGTGTCCGCGGGAGGCAGTGACATCGCCGCTCGGCACTTCGCGGGATCTGTCAGGTCCCCGGCAGCACCTCGGGTCCATGCCGTCACGGCGCAGGCAGCGTTCCTGCGTCCATCCCGCTCGCATTAATTAGCCTGCCGGCGTCTGAGGTGTAATTAGCACATGACCGTGGACTCGAGTGCTGCTGAGCATCCAGGGCTCTGCGCAGAAAATGGAGGTTTGTGTACCTTCTGAACTGAGCCTTTTACCGCCGCGGGAGCCTCACTGTGTGCCACTGCGCTGTTTCCGTGCCGCTCCTGTGTGTCTCTCTGTCTTACAGTCATATACAGACGTTTCCTCAGTCATGTTTCCACCAGGCATCGCGCCTCACAGGCAGCCATTGTGGCAGTATCAAGGACTGTTTGTCTGGCCGTGTTCGGTCGGTTTTGGCAGAGCGCTGTTTTTCCGCCCGGTCGCTGCCCGGCCCGGTCCTCTCCTTGGAGCCCTGTAATAGCTTCAGGGCGACCTTCACGCCGAGTAGGTGCGATTTCCTTCTGGTAAGGAGGCTCACAGACGGCCTTTCCTCTGCTCCGATGGCTCTTTGGCGTGTGTCCCCTGCGTTGGGCTTTGTGAGGTTGGATACCTGAAACTGGTTCATGTCCTGGGGGCTGTGCTGTTTTACCTGGGGGAGGAAACTTCAGCATTTAATTCAGCATTTATCTACCAGATAAACAATTAGCTTTTTTTGTGGGGGTGAGGGTGAGCTAGTAATTGGGGCTGTTGAAATTGAGGGTCTGCTCTTGGGGCCAGTGCCAATGGTGATGGGATTCGAACCAACAAGTTTCTGAGTGATAATTTGAGTTACAAATGGTGAATTGGCTCTGAGAAAGACAAGGTGAATTTCGGAGGATGCCATTTGTCGGCCACTCAAGGATGTGGCTTTTTGGGGGAATGATGTCTGCGAGGCACGGCGCTCGCAAAGCAGGTCTCATGGGGCCTGACTGCCACTCCCCAGGCCTGAAACCCGAGAGCACCCGGCTGGGCCCTGATGTCATTTCACTTTACAAGGTTATTGAAAGATCAATGTCTGGCGTTTGCTTGTTAATCGCCTCCGTGTGTCCATAGCAAATGGTGCATGCTCCGTGGCTGTTTTCTGACAAGCACAGGGGAGTGGTGGCTGATCGCGAAGCATGGAGCCGCTATTAAAGGTCGTTACCGGCTTCTGAGAATAAATGCCGGATTTCATCAGCATGCCGTACCGGTCAGTCACCACTCTCTTCTTGTTTATCATCAGGAAACCTTCAGCTGTCTTCGACCATGCATGTGGTGTGTCGTCTGCTAGACACTCTCTGGTGGTACACACTAGAGACTGCACAATTACATGGCATCCATGTAAATGCTAGTGTGTCGAGCGGTGAGTTGGGCTGCGGTGTCATAATGTGGCGTGTATGTCGTGAAGTTGGGGCAGGTAGCGTGACCAGCATGAGGCGGGTTAGTAAGTTTCTGGACTGTTGATGTTTTACCCTAAGACTCTGCAGATCGGCCTGATGACTGTAAGCAGCCCCTCGCATCAGCCGGCTAAAGGAATCGACTGAATTTCAGTCTTGGATGCTTCAGCGTGTGGTCAGTCAGCCTCAGGAGTGTTTCCATTTTCCCCCAAGACTCAAACGGCCATCAGAGCACGGAGGACCATTAATCGCTCGGAGCAGGTCTGATGGACGAGTGGCTGGGCCCCTTGGGGGATAGAAGGTGCTGCTGGAGCAAGAGTGCAGCTTTGTGCTGGGGACGGGGGCCAGATCACATGGCCTGCTGACATTTCCTTGTTGACCAGCCTCACTGTTGGCTTTTTCTGCTTCCTAATGCCGTCTTCTGGCAGGATATTCTCCAGGGGATTACAGTCACAGCCTCACGTCATTGCTTTCGGTTTTCTCCAGAGATTTGAGCTGGAAGGAAATTGCGTGTTAAGCTTTGGGGGAAAAAAACGTGTGAAGACACGTTTCCTCCCATTATTTTTAGAGGTGTTATTTGGGGTAATTTCACAATCCTTGAATAATAAGCAGGACTTGTGAAGTAGGGCTCCACTGATTCTGTTTCTTTCATGCAGACCTTCTGTAGATCTTAGTTAATTTGAAGTGTCTTTTTCTTTTAATAACAGGCCGGTTGTCTGAGAATGTGCTGCTAGGTGTCTTCGACACACATGACCAGTGGAGTGATGCTGTAATACGGAGATTGTTACCCGCCCAGGGTGTGGCTTTGCCTTTTGATTTGAACTCCGATGAGAAGCGTTTCATGGGACTCAGGGTAGTTAATGGGATATGATGTTGCGAGGGGAGGGGAATGCTGACTGCCCTCCTGCACCACATTAACACCCAGGTGCCTCCTCCCACAGCCGATTGGTACGTGGAGTTTGCTTGTGCACCTTACTGAGACCCGTGGCCTCTGACCATGCCTCTAACCGTGACCCACACCCCCTAACCAAGACCTGTGGCCTCTGACCATGCCTCTAATCATGGCCTCTAGCCGAGATCCGCACCCTCTAACCAAGACCTGTGACCTCTGACCATGCCTCTACTCACAGCCTCTAACCGAGATCCACACCCTCTAACTGAGACCTGTAGCCTCTGACTATACCTCTAATCGTGGCCTCTAACTGCAACCCGCACCCTCTGACTGAGACCTGTGGCTTCTGACCATGGCTCTAATTGTGGCCTCTAACCGTAACCCGCACCCTCTGGCCGAGACCTATGGCCTCTGACCATGTCTTTAATCGCGGCCTCGAAACCGAGACCCGTGGCGTCTAATCACGCCTCTCCTGCCACCCAGCTCCCCGCTGACTTCGCCAAGCACCATCTGGCCGACGGCCTCCACCCTCAGGTGACCCACGTGACCTCCAGCCACTCAGGATGTAGCATCACCAGTGACTCTGGGAGCAGCAGCCTGTCAGATATTTACCAGGTAAGCACCACCCCCCCTTAAACCATAAAAAGACCATAAAAAAGACGTTAAAAAGACAGTAACAATAAATAATAACTGGCGATAAACTGAGGATGTCAGATAAAGAATTGTGTGGAAATGGCTCTCAGATAGATGCATTAAAAGAGAATAATGGCGTTAAGGCCAGTGAAGCACCTACAGCGTGTTCATAAGCACCATCTCACCGGCCAGCTGATGGACACCAGCCACACTTTGGTCCAGTCTCTCGTGACTGAAGTGCAACTGATGTGTTTACCGTACCTTGCGACTCGATTGGCTGAGAGTCCTTAGTGGGTCCCCCCCCCCCCCCCCAGCAGTGCCCATGGGGTCCTCCGGGTCTGTCCCCTGCCCTCGATCAGGGCACCATCTGCTTTCCCCGCTAATCCGCCCTCGGCTCCTGCGCCGGTAGACGCGTGCTTGACATCAGCCCCGGACGCCGCCGGCAGTAACCGGATGGATGGTCCTCCATCTTAGGCGACCGTGACTCTCACTTCCAGCTCCGAGGGCCTTCTCTGTGTTAATCAGCAGCCGGCTGCTCACACTGTGCTACTGACATGCAGATCAGTAAGCTGGAGGGTTGCTCTGTGCTCTGCTGAACGCCGGCGTCGTTTGGGTCGCAGCCCCTGTAGCAGTGTGACCTTGTTTCCATTTCTATCTTGAAATGCACTTTATATCTACTTACTTGCACACCCACCCCCCACCGCCCCCCCGTGGTCTTTCATATGTCGAGTGAAACTCAGCTTTAAACTGTACGCCTCCCCCTCCCCCCCCGCCCTGAACGATTCAGAAGAGAATGGAAACCGCACAGCTTGGATCTGCGGGCGACGCGTCCCACACCCTCCTGAAGTGTGAATTTCTTGCGCATTGCGCTTTGCGCTCCCCCCGACATGAGAGAGACGGCAGCTCCCCCCCCCCCACCTCTTCTATGTCCCCCTCAGCCCCCCCCCCCAGACCAC